GATACGGTGAGCAGCACGATCGGACRATGGATGTACTTCATCGACCAGTTTGACTTCACACTGAAACATCTACCCGGCCTCTCAAATCGCGCAGCAGATGCACTCTCGCGAAGACCAGATCTTTGCACTATGACACATCATGCCTTCGCATTCGACGAGGAGCTTCAGCGACACTTCGTCCGGGCATATGAGTCTGATCCGRACTTCGGCACGCTCTATGCACAGCTATCTTCGGATCACCCGCCGACCAACCATTACCGCATTGTCGATGGGTACTTGCTCCTCCACTCGAGAGGCAAGGACTTACTATGTGTCCCACGCGACCGTCGTCTTCGGACTCGCCTCCTCGGCGAGGATCATGATTCATGACTCGCCGACCATTTCGGAGTCAACCACACTATTGCACGGCTTCGACAGCGATTCCGATGGCCCGACCTCATGACCGATGTCACTCGGTATTGCGACTCTTGCGAAGTTTGCCGACGCAGCAAGCCCTGCAACCGCAATCCCTACGGCGAGTTACACCCGATGCCTATCCCACGGGAACCCGGTCTCTCCATTGCCATGGACGTCACCGGTCCGTTTCCTCGCGATCGGCTCGGGCACGACGACATCCTCACGGTTGTGGACCGATTGAGTAAGTACGCGCGTTTTCTCCCTTGCAAGTACTACTCCACGGCTCCCGGGCTGGCACGCCTCCTGCACACTGGTTGGATTTGTGGCCACGGTGTACCAGAAGACATTGTCAGTGACCGCGACACTTGTTTCATGTCGGCGTTTTGGACTGCTCTCATGCAGGAGTCCGGCACAACAATGAAACCAAGTTCGGCTCGACATCCTCAGACAGACGGGCAGACGGAGCGGGCACATCAAACCGCTCAAATGATGCTTCGTACGCTCATCCGTCCGGACCAGAAAGATTGGGTTGACCGCCTACCCGACATCGAGTTCGCCTACAACACTTCGGTGCATCCGGCGATCGGCGTGACTCCATTCGAGTTGCACCACGGTGGACGGACAGGCCGGATCTTCGCAGACCTTCTCCTCCCTCGACCAGCCGACATCGACGCTGCCTGCTCTCCCGCTTCCGTCCGGAAGTACAGGGAATTGCTGACTCAAGCCCGCGCAAATATGCAAAAGGCTCAAGTCCGCATGCAGCAGCAAGCCAACAAGCGTCGCGTACCATGTCCCATCCGCGCCGGTGATCTGGTTTGGGTCGCCGCGGAAGAGTTTGCACTGGAACAGGATGTTTCACGCAAACTGYTTCCCAAGTGGTTTGGACCTTGGTCTGTGACAGCAGCCGCGGGCGATGAGCCCGATGGCCCTTCATTTGTCATCAACATTCCAAAGCATCTGACGGTCCATCCGGTCTTCCACGCCTCGAAGCTGGCAACATACACGCCAGCCAAGAGCGACGACTTTCCGGACCGACGATCGCAGGATCCTCCTTCTATGGATGGCCATCAGGAAGTTGACTGCGTCATCTCCAATCGCAAGTACGGCAGCAAGCCGCGGCAGTACAAAGTCACATTCAAAGCATGTGATCGCGACGACACTCAGTGGATTTCAGGCGCAGATTTGAAAGCATCCGCACCGCTGATCTACGCGCATTATGAAAAGCGCAGGTTAGCTCAGGAAGCTTCACGACCAGCCCCTCCCACCCGGACTGTGGTCCCTCCCTCAGACAGACAGGTTCGCCCTCGCAGGTAAGCTC